TTGCGGAACAAACGCAACCTTCGCTTCAGAGGTTGCTGAATATCAATCCGGACACGGGTACGGAAGAAGCTCTTCCATGCGCCCCCGAAATTGTGTGGATCGACTGCTTTGAATGCACCGATGTAATTACCAATGCGAGTGATGAAGTCTGCGGAGGCAAAGACCGTTGGTAGATCATGCAGCTGGATCCAGAAATCCACGAAGTCCAGAGTGACATCCGCTGGATTCTTTCCGATCGGAACCCTGTCGAAAACCAGAGTATGGTTTTCGAAAGTCCAGGGACCATCATCAACCACTCTTTGCAGATCCTTCAGATGCGGTAACTGGAACAGAAACAAATTTTCCTTAATCGGGAGGATACGCATTCCCATGACTGGCCTCCAAACCGAGGCCAATACGTGCTGCATATGCTCATGTTTGACCGGACAATCGGTCAAGAAGCACCCCACCAATTCGTGATGGAAAACTTCCGGCGGGGTGATCTGTTCTTCCGCGGCCTCCAACTTCATGACCGCGCAAGCCTCCTCGATTCCTCGGGTGTCCATAGTAGCCAAGTGCAAAATGACCTGATGACAAAAGCGTCGATCGGAATGACAGTGATTGGATCTGAGAGCCCGATCTAAACGATCGTGATTGGTCAGCCGATAAGCCTGATCACGGACGACGATGAACGTACGTAACAGTCGATCGCAGTGGAGATCGAGTATGATCTGAATGATGAGTGAAGCGTAACCCGGTGATGAGATGCGATCGAATCCAGGAGTGATCGCAAACGTAAATAGTAAGAGGAATGGAACGTGGGTGATGGCAACGTGGGAGAGAATGAAACGCCATAATGGAACGTGGGTGATGGCAACGTGGGAGAGAATGAAACGCCATAATGGGGAATGATCAGCCATAGTGGGGTAGGAACTCTAGAAAGCTAGGGAGATACTCTCCGAAAATCAGAGAGAGACCGCTTTAATAGCTATGAATGAGATTAATTAAAAAATGTATGAGTCTAATTGTACGGGTTTATTATAGGTCATTGCACTTTTCTTTTAATTTTTTAATTAGCTAATTTATTAAGTAATACGTTAGTTTTTTATTAATATGAAAATAATTTGCAGGTGTTATTCCAAAGGAGATATACGCTTTGCGTTCCTTACGTTCTCTTAATTTAGAATCCAACCGTCTCTCTGGTTCGTACCCCTTTGTTAAGTTAGATAATTAAAACAATTTAATTCCTTTATTCCTAATTAAAATTGTCCTCACTACAAAGCATTGTTTCCTTTTCTCAGGACATATACCAAAGGAAGTTGGGAATTTAACTATGCTTCGATCCCTAAACATTCGATATAACAACTTTGGAGGTACATTCAATGCTATACTGTAAATATATAAACTCAGACACAATATTTATTCCTGTATTTATGTAAGTCAGGAGTCTAAAATGAATAATTATAAATCTTTTTAAATAATAACCTAATTGAGTTACATATATATAGACACATACGTCCTAAAAGTCAATGCTAAAGTTATCGTTAATATTTCAGTACGGTACGGTGATGTTGGATCAGAGCTATAGTATATAATTTAAACCATTTGTAGAATAGTTTTACTACATAGACTCTCAAATTTTACTCCTTAAGGTGGCAAATCAGGATTGGTTATTTTAACCAATAGAGTCACTGTGATTTACATCCTCCCACATGCTCTGTCGGGTCGGAGTGTGGGGGGCCCTTAGGGTTAGGGATTCAGCCTTTGGGGTAAGGATTGGTAATTTTAATCATGTGGGTCCACAGAAAAGTGTCTACATGAAAAGTATCTGAGATGGAGTACAAATTACAAGTATAAATTGGGAGTACACCAAGTATTTTCCTTTGTAGAATTGGTCTGGGCGCATCTTTTTGATCAATGGCTTGATTTTAGTTTTAAATGACTGGATCTGGAGCGATACTCTGATACATCTATAATTAATTTATTATAATTAAATAAATTTCTTATAACAAATGTACTATGGTTAAATAAATAGTATTTTATCTACTCAAACATTTCCAGTGTTTTAGATATCTCATTGTGATATGCATGAAAGGAAAGAAATAATTAGTAGATTAATTAGTGGAGACCCTCAAAAGAAATAATCAATTAGGATCTGTAATTATAGGAGATTTGAATACACATGCATTGGTAGAGTAAAATTATGTATATTAGAATAAATCAATACCTTACATATAGTTAGTATAATTTTAGTAATTTAATTATTTATGAGAATGATAAAGATCAGAGAAATATGTTCTTTGTTTGTTTTTTGAAACAAGAAATATATTGTTCTTATTCATGTTTGTCCTTGTTATTTTATATTGTTCTTGGAGCGCTCACACGTTCGAAGTGAGAATTTAGAATTTGTTGTGACTCAAATATGATTGGGAGCTAGAAACTGGCTTGAAAGATTTTCCATCGGTTAATAATTCTATCTAGGGTTGTAAGGTGCAAAACATTGTTAAATTAATTAAAATATATCTCCAATTATATTTTTAATTAGTTTTTTTTATCAAATTAAAAATTAATTATATTTTTAATTAGTTTATATTTCACTGAAATCATTACAAATTATATTTTAAACTATAATGGAATATATATAAACAATAGATTTTTATTCAAAATTAAGCATTAAATAAAAAGAACTATTTTCTAATCTAATTATTCAAAATACAACCAATAATTGTTGGGTGTTAAAATTTAACCAATGGCAATTTTAGAATAAGTAAACAATAGAGAATACCTATTGTATTTACTAATAACAATAATAAGAAATGATAAAATATTATTTTTTTTACTATTTTAAATAGTTGGCCGGCTCGAACCATGATTTTCAATAGACCCCTCTAGCTGAGAGTCGAACTTGTAAGTTTGTGCTTACAAAGTTAACACTTTGACAAATTTAGTTAGGTTGCCCCATATAAATATTACTCATTCACATTTTTGTTAAATATAATTTTTGCAAGTTAAATAAGAATATTGAGCTAAGTACATGTAAAAACGTTAATATTTTGTATATTGAATTGTACAATTCTTCACTTGTTATATATTTGTAATAAACAACATTTTTTTAATACATAATATTTGACTGGCTGGTTGGCAGGTGAAATACCAAAAGAGTTAGGAAAACTTCATATGTTGGAGGAAGTAATTTTAGATTTCGCTAACTTAAGTGGGTCCATACCCAAGGAAGTCTTCAACATTTCTTCTTTAAAAACAATTTCATTTGGATTCAATAACCTTGTGGGCACACTTCCTTCAAGCATGGGGCATGCTCTATTGAACTTAGAGCAAGTCTATCTGGAAGATAATCGGCTCAGTGGAGTAATACCAGACACCATCTCAAATTGTTCAAAACTTACTGTTTTAGTTCTTGGCACAAACCATTTCAGCGGCACAATACCTACATCTTTTGGTAACCTAATGCTCCTAAAATTCCTAAGTGTAGTTGAAAATATGCTCACAAATGATGTTGCATCTCCAGAGTTAAATATTATCAACTCTTTGGTAAATTGCAATTACTTGGAGGAGGTATACTTAGATAGTAACCCTCTAAATGCTATCCTCCCGTCATCAATTGGGAATCTTTCTTCATTCCTTGGACATCTGTTTGTGTGGAGTTGTGGGTTAAAGAAAATCATACCAAATCAATTAGGAAACTTAAGTAGCTTGATTGCCATGGATCTGGGTAGCAATAACTTGGTCGGGATTATTCCACCAACACTAGGTAGGGTTAGTAAGCTCCAAGGATTGTATCTCAGTAATAACAAACTGAGTGGTTCCATCCCTGATAGCCTTTGTAATCTTCACTATCTGTACGAATTACAGTTGAGCAACAATCAGCTATCTGGCAGTTTGCTGAAATGTTTTGGTAATAGCACTTCCCTCAGAAAAGTATATCTAGATTCAAACCGTTTGACTTCTAAAATACCTTCAAGTTTGTGCTACCTCAAAGACTTATTAGAGCTTAATTTGAGTTCAAATTTCTTAGATGGATTTATACCCAATGGTGTTGAAGGTTTGAAGGCACTTTCACTTCTAGACATATCCCACAATAAAATCTCGGGAAATATCCCTGTCGCTATTGGACAATTGCAAAATTTGATTTCTCTTTCTCTTGAACAGAATAAACTAGAAGGATCTATTCCAAAGCAAATAAGTCAAATTGTTTCCTTGGAATTCTTAGATTTGTCTCTAAACAAACTCTCTGGTTCTATTCCAGTATCTTTAGAAAGACTTACATACCTCAAATACTTCAATGTCTCATTCAATGAATTGAGTGGTGAAATTCCATCAGCTGGTTGTTTCAAAAACTTCTCAAGTACATCATTCATGTTCAACAAGGAGTTATGTGGAAATCCTAAGTTTCACGTACCACAGTGCCAGTCTACCCACCATTCAAGGATTAAAAGAAGACTTCTTATTGCTCTTGCATCTCTTGGAGCTTCATTGATAATTACATTTGTAATTATTGCATTTCTCCTTACAAAGCGACAAAGAAAATTTCGAGTACCAAGTATGACGGATATTGGCTTTCCATGGGATAAATTAAGGATTTCTTATGATGAGCTTTCAAGGGCTACTTCTTGCTTTAGCCAAAACAATCTCATTGGTTCAGGGAGTTTTGGCTCTGTGTATAAAGGGACTTTGGATGACGGGACGCTTATAGCAGTGAAGGCATTTAATCAATCAGATGATGCACTTGAGAGTTTTAATGTTGAGGTTGAAGTGCTAAAGAATTTGCGCCATCGAAATCTCACTAAGGTCATTACTGGATGTTTTGCCGTTGACTTTAAGGCCTTGGTCCTTGAGTACATGCCAAATGGAAGCCTTCACCAATGGCTACATTCACAAAGAAACTTCTTGGATATGACTCAGAGGTTGAATATAATGATTGATGTTGCATGTGGCTTGGACTATCTTCATAATGGTTATGCAATGCCGGTGGTTCATTGTGATTTAAAGCCTGCAAATGTGTTATTAGATGAAGAAATGGTAGGCCATGTATGTGATTTTAGTGTGACAAAGTTGTTAACTAAGGAGGAGAGCTTCAAGCATACCGAAACTCTAGCAACACTAGGCTATATGGCACCAGGTAAATGCGATTTTAATCTTTCATTCAATTTATTCCTAAAATATTTTAAAATAATCATGGACTAGTCGTCCATTTTCCATTCCAAATTTATGATGGATTGATGGTAGTTTTGATAATCGCAGAGTATGGATCCACAGGAATGATATCAACACAATGTGACATTTATAGTTTTGGAATTGTGGTAATGGAAACATTTTCAGCAAGAAGGCCCACAGATGAAACATTTGGTGAAGATATGAGCATGAAAAGTTGGATAAGTTATTCTTTGCCTCATGATGTACTTCAAGTTGTAGATCCCAACTTACTAAGGGCAGATGATGAAGACTTCAATGTGAAATTGCAGTGTATATCCTCCATATTAGAATTGGCATTGCATTGTGCAGATGAATCCCCTCAAATCCGATTAAATGCAGAAGATGTTGTAGGAAGACTGAATAAAATCAAACTTCAATTTCTATGAAGTGTTGGGACCTGATAAAATTGAAATGAAACAGCTGAAAAGATTACCTTGAAAGGATGCAGTTGTCACCGTTCCAGGTAAAATTGAGTAATACTATCTAGTTCTTGTCTAGAGTAGCAGTTGATCCAACATGAATTTGTGCATTGTACTGCAAATCTTTGCAGGTGAAAGGAGTCTCACAAAGGACAACAGGTTGCTTGGAAAATTTGATCTAACTAGAATAGCTCCGATCCAGCTCCAAGGTAAGGATATTATTTATTTTCTTCCCAATATAATTAGTGAGAGTTGCCATTCCATTCTCTCTCTCATCTGAAATTGTAATGTGTTTTAATAGAGGAACACCTGAAATTGAAGTTACATTTGAAGTTGATGCTAACGGCATCCTGAACTTTAAAGCCGAAGACAAGGCCTCTGGGTGATCTGAGAAGTTTACCATCACTAACGATAAATGCCGCTTGAGCCAAGAAGAAATTGAGCGGATTGTGTTACTGTAATTTTATTAACATGTTCAGCTTTGAATCACCGGATGAGTTTTCTTCTCTTATTGAATTGTTTGTTGGAGGAAAAATGATTCGAGTAGTAAGCTTAAACAATTATAAAATTGAAGTTTTTGCATCTGCATTCCTTGTTTGTTGAATCTAACCTGCATATTTCATTTGATTATTACTGATTTTATGCATTAATTTGGCAATGTATCTTTTGACAGGGAGCTTAAAGGAGGAAGCATCCAACTTATTCCTGTGTTGGAGTTTACAAAGATGAGCGTGTAGATCGAGATCATAGGCAATGAGCAAGGTAATCGTATCACACCATCATGGGTTGCCTTCACTGACAATGAGAGACTAATTGGTGAGGCATGCAGCCAAGAATCAACCCTGAGATCAGTCATCAGAGGACCATTTTTTATGTAAAGAGGCTTATTGGAAGAAAGTAATGAATTTCTCTAGCTCTAAAGTTTCCTCCAATATATGTTTGTGTGTGTTTTTTGAAGCTAACTCTAATTGGGATCTTAAATAGGTTTGAAGACAAAGAAGTGCAAAGGGACATGAAACTTGTTTGGCATCTCTGTTTCATGTAAGCCTCTCTTACTCTCTTCCAGAAGATAATGAGATTAGGGAATAACTAGTTGAGTTGAATATTTGGTATATTAATATTGTCTTTGTTTTGGTAATATATTGCTCTTTTGGTTATGCAATAATGGTATTATGAATCATGATAAGCCCTTTTGTCCTTTCAGGAGATAAAATAAAGTTCTCTCTATCAGCATCAAAGTCAAAGGACTCTTTATCAACTAATGCTCCTGGTATTCCCCTTGATGAAAGAATTTTGGTACATGAATTATTTATCTGTTACTGTTGATCTCTAAAGATAATCATTATGTTATCACATATTGATTATTGCCACTTTCTTTTGCAGATAATAATGGCACTTAATCTTTACAGGAACAGACAAGCACTTTTGGGTAAAAATTTTGAATGTGTACAGACAATATAACAATGTTTCCAATTTATCTATTTTTTTTTTCTGATTTTGAGATGTTATATCGGCAGATTCATCTTGGTAAGAAGGTACCGACTGTACTGGTAGAGGCGAGGTATGTCTTCGGACTACAAAATATATTAGAACTGTTCACAGGTTAATCTTGGATTCAAAGTGACCCAATCCAGACTTAGATGTGAACCATTATTTCATGATTGTTTGACTTTGTTACTTTCTTGGAAGTATCATGATCTTAAAAAAAGATGTTTCAAGAAAATGTTATAGTCTTGTAGTTAAACTGGGTGCAGGGGACTTAATATGAAAAAAGAGGTTCCTAAATTTAAGAAACCCTTTTGGTAGGATGCTATTAGATACTGACCTTGGAGGTAATTAAGGGCCTTTGTAGTTATGTACATGGTTTTTGGGACTTGTTTCTTCATGTTTGGTGGGGTGGCATTTGGCTAATTGTGCTTTATTAGATAAAATAAATGATTCTTCCTGCAGATCTTGACCTCACATAAACATTTTATTTACCTCTTGTTCTTGCAGGCAAAGATTTTGATCAGAGAATCATGGAGTATTTCATTAAATTGATAAAGTAGAAGCATGGTAAGGACATCAGCAAAGACAACAGGGCTTTTTGGGAAACTCAGGAGGGAATGTGAGCGGGCAAAGAGGGCTCTGAGCACTTAGCATCAGGTTGGTGTAGAGATTGAATCTCTTTTTGATGGTAATGATTTGTTAAGAAAGACTAAATATGACTTATGTTTAATTAGCCAAAAATGTGAACTTCTTTGCTAACATTTGTGTGCTTTGTTATCAGATTGACAGATATTCTTCTCCTTGATGGAGTGATGACGAAGTTGATTCCCAGAAATACTGTTATCCCAACAAAAAAAAATCTCAAGTTTTCACCACCTACCAAGATCAACAGACAACTGTCACAATTCAGGTGTGTCCTCAACATTCATTTAGTAATTATAGGTTTATCAGTTCAAATATCATTAAATCCTGTAGTCATCAAATTCAGCTTGGAGACGTATGTTTACAACATGAAAAACCAGATCAATGACAAGGACAAGCTAGCAGATAAACTAGAATCTGATGAGAAGGAGAAGATTGAGAAGGCAACAAAAGAGGCCCTTGAATGGTTGGATGACAATCAGAATGCCGAGAAGGAGGATTATGTGGAAAAGCTGAAGGAAGTTGAGGATGTGTGCAACCCAATTTCTTTTGTTAAACGAACAATGAAGGGAGTGGTCTATGTCTGTTTGTAGAGAGTGATTTTCTGTCCCCTTATTTATTTCGGAAACTTTGCACGTGGATTTGAAGGAAAATATTGCATGAACCAGTCTTCCACCATTATATTGATGATTAAAAAAAAAGGATTTATTATGAATAATTGTTCTTATATTGTTGGGTGTTTATATCACGGGATCGAGTGAATATACACATAGGATAGAAATTATGGGAATAACTCTTTTTACCAGTTGCATTATTACACTTGTTAAATCCAGATTTTAATATTGTTCTTGAGATTGGCACTAGATAATTAAATAGTTAAATCCTAGGAATCCCATTCTCTTCGAGTTTTTTTGCAGTATTGGTCCCACGACTATAGTGTCACTAACAATTTTGATCCACGACTTTTAAAACTTTCAGAATTGGTCAACCACTATTACTTTCTAAGCAAAAATAGTCCTTCGGGCGAACTCTCCGTCAGCTTTTCACCGAATTTTTTTTTCTCTTTTTTCATAAGGGTATAATGATCTTTTCATTTACCTAAACTAATTAATGACCTAAATAATAATAATAATAATAATAATAATAATAATAATAATAATAATAATAATAATAATAATAATAATAATAATAAGGGTACTACTACTACTATTATTATTATTATTATTATTATTATTATTATTATTATTATTATTATTATTATTGTTATTATTGTTGTTGTTGTTGTTGTTGTTATTGTTATTGTTATTGTTATTGTTATTGTTATTGTTATTATTATTATTATTATTTAGGTCATTAGTTTAGGTAAATGAAAAGACCATTATACCCTTGTGGAAAAGGGAAAAAAAAAAAAGAATTTCCTATAAAAAGTTGACGGAAAATTCGGCGGAAGGACTATTTTTGCTAATAAAGTAATAGTCGTGGACCAATTCTGCAAGTTTTAAAAGTCGTGGATCAAAGTTGTTAGCGATACTATAGTCGTGGGACTAAAAGTGCAAAAAACTTCATTCTCTCCTTATTGTTTTCACAAACCTGCATACTTTGTTTTATTTATTTTTTGTCATTGCTCAATCATGTCTTTCGTTAGTATTAGCATCATAAGAATGAATTAGTAACTAGTGCTTAATATGTCCAACTTCCCTGTGGATCGATAACCTGGTGCTCCATGTATTATTTGTTTGAGAAATATACTACAATTAACTGACAAGACGAACACAAAGTATTAGCACAAACATCTAACTTGCTAATATGATAATTCTACCGGTGTACCTACGGTGACAAGGGAAGATGCCATGGCACGAAACTCTGGGCATAGTCCCCGGAAGACATACAAGTTTTGCTCATCCAATGAGACCGGGCGACTGACCATGGCTAACTCCTCCACAACCACCTTCGCACGACCCAAGTATTCCGCAAGCGTGTTATCTCCTTGTCGCAACCCTTGTAAATAACTAAGAAGACCGAGAGTACGAGCTCGAGTGGAGGAACCAAACGCATGCTCAACTGCTTACCAGACCATGCGCGAGGTGGACTGCCTGACGGCGAGGTACATCACCTCCTCCGATAACGATGCAACCAACATGGGGAGAATAGCTTGGTCTTCCTAGACCCAAGCTAGCGCCACTGGATCATCAACAGTGGAGGCTCCGTCAGCCGAGACTACTACTACCGGTGGACAGAGGTCAGTGCCGTCAACGAAGCCAAGTAACCCTTGACCACGAAGGAAGGGAACCATCTGGGTGCGCCAGAACATATTATTCTTGGACGTGAGCTTAATAGACACGAATGGTGCATCGACAAGAGGGAAGTGCGTTCCGAGGATGCATCAGATGGTGGAATAGTAGAGGCCATCACTATGATCCTACAAAGAGTATGATAACAGATGAGTGAACGATAAATTGTATTCACAATAATCACAATAATAGCCCGCATGGGTAGCTCAACTGGTCATAGAGGTGAAACTTTGGAAGAATGACTAGGGATTGAGTCTCACCAGCGGCAGTGTGGGAGCAACCTCTGAAAGTGAGGGGGGCTTCTTGTGCGCAGTGAGCATCGGTCTAGCCTTACATCCTCCCAAATACTGATAATGTAACTAATAGATAGAGGTCGGGTCAAATAGGTCACTCAACTGCACACCAAACTGCAATTAGACCATTGAACTCAAACAAAAAAAAAAAAAATGCAATTGGGTCCTTGAACAACACAAAATCATGCAATTAGATCTAAAATGTCCTGTTTACCTGAAAGTATGCTCGTGTGACGGTTACCGATTTTAAAAATAATCTTTAAAATAATTTTAAATAAAATAATTAATTAAAAAAAAATCTAAACTGCTAGTCAGCTTCGTCTCCATGCCCACTAGACCACAAGGTCTTTAGCAATCATCTAAAATATGTAATATCATAATTTAACATTAACAATCACATATTTAAAAATAATTTCTAATATAAAATTTAATAATATCAAACTCAAAAAAATAAATAACAATTAAAATAATGAAAAAATATTAACAAAAAAGTTTTCAAGAAGTAGGAGTAGGGAAGGGGTCATTTGACCCAGTTGACCCCCTTTCCCTACACTCGGTTACCACTAACTGACATAGTTAAGTTTTAACTTGAAGTAGACTCAAATATAGCCTTTAAATAAACTCTAAAGTTTATCTTTTTTGAGTCTAATAATTTATATTTAATTTTTTTTGAAAAGGAGTCTAATAAAATTTTCAAACACTAAGGGTTGCTTACTAAAGAAAAAAAATTAGAAAGTTTTTGAAATTTTTTTTTTTGAGAAGTGGAATAATGGAAAATGAAAAACTTGTTT